GTGTGTAGATTTGTCGACTCTTATAAATAAAGTGTATGGAAGCAATCTGACTCTTGTAAACAGGAACGAGAACAGGGTGATGCAGATTTCAAAGGCAGCTGACAGTCAGGGGGCAGAGGAGGGCGCGCTGCTGGCGCGTGCGCGCGCGGAGTTTGGCAGCTCGCGCTGGATGGATTCTTGGTTTCTGAGGGTGGACCACACAGAGATGCTGCGGGAAGCCGAGGGGATGGAACTGAGAACAGCAAACATCCCAGAGTCTCTTTTTCGCGTCTTTTTATCCTCTTTTTATTCTTGTTAAATCGGTCCAATTGGTTTCATTAGATCCATGATGTTTGATTTCCTTCTTTTGAGTGGTGTGTGTGATGTCACAGAAGTGTTCAGTGCATCTTAAATGTGTGTTTTAACTCTATGCCATGGGGCTTCTCTGTCAGGCCGAAATGGTTTGAAGAAACTATAAACAAAAAAAAACATTTGTGTGACCACAAATAAAGGAAGAAACCACATTTCACTTAGCTAAGTCATTATGACCACTTGTTATATTTGGATTAAACAATGATGCAATTAGTCTGGTATCTGGAACAAGCAACGTTAAACATGATAAAATGCTGACACAAATCAGAGGAACATGCAAAACAAGGAATGTTTGAGCCCTTGTGTGAAATGTTTGAGTCAAATGGAGGTTGGATGTTGAAGTGTGGGACAGAGGATGATTCAGAAGACAATATTTAGGGGATAATGATCTGGAGAATGCCAATTCTCCAGATCATTATCCCCTAAATATCAATGCTGATCAATGCTCAATGATCAATGCTGATGCGCAAAGGTGGGCCAGGGTTGATTTATGGAAAATCCCTGTTAGATTTAAGTTGCACTCATAAACTAGTTTCCAGAAGCCCACTTTTAAATGTAGAGGGGCAGTAGCATAGACATTTGTCTATGGGCAGGAGTCTTTCCTGAAGCCTTGAAGACCAGATCCACCTTTATTTAAAAATGCTTGTTGCAAAAAAGCTGGCAGAGGGGTCTGAGAATGATCTGAGAAATTGGGCCATGTCAGCATCAGGAGAATTGTTCATTTAGAATATCAATTCATCCAAATTTTTAACAAATGTCATTGGCTGACCTCGTCATATTTGTCTTCTGCAGACATGAATAACAATAGAAATAATAGGAAAAATGAATGATGACCAGGAATGACACAACTAAAAGGTTTTGATGAAAGTCATTTGAGTTCTTTTCTTAAAAAACTTCCCCCCTTGGGAAAGTTTGGAACAATCCTCTGGTCAGTCATTGTTCCCTATGGAACAATTTGATATTTTCTGTGGCCACAACAACCTGGAGTCGTTTTGTTTTCTCTCTTACTCAGATCAGATAGTTTTCTTGGGTCAAGTGGTCTGTCCAGAGCACATTAAGCTCAAGTTCATTATAAAAGTCGCCCTGATAACGTTTGGGGTCTTTGTTATTGCGCAAACATGTTCCTGTTACTCACTTTTCTGTGACAGGACATAGACTGTTTGGCGCCGCGTGTTTAATCCAAACTTGGGAACTAGACGACTTCTCTCTGAGGTATCAAAATAAACTAAGCAGCCCCTCACACGCACATCTCCTCTGGGACGCAGCCTCAGCTCGTTAATTGCTCCCAGGAATTATTGCGCTTACTGCGCTTTTCCCCGACGAGAATTGTAAATGGGGTTCTGTTTGTATGAATAAACATTGCCTCCTAAAGACTCCCTCTGTTTTGCATATTGTGAGAGGAAGAACCGTTCTTCTCCTTTTCCGCTGCCACGCCGACTGCCCCACATTACCCTGACAACTGAGCGGGCCGCGGCCTCTTATTACCATCATTATCAGCATCAGCATAACAGAGACTGGAAATGGCATGGGGAGCTCCCGGTTTTTTTTGTTGCTTGCGCGCTCATTTGCCATTTAGGGGCAGCCCACACAGGGTTTTTTATATATTTTTTTACAGCTGGACTTCCATCCTGATGTGCAGTGGCAAGGGGACAGATAAAGACTGGAGCTCCTTTGGAGATCTGTGATTGTCTAATGGAGATTTTTCGTCATCAGATGAGTTCCATCCTTAAACATAAAACGCTGAAAGAATGGTCTAACCTTTACCAATCGATGGAAACCAATAGATAACGAGTCAGATTCATTTAAAGCAAGCTTATGATACAAGGTAGAACTTTATGAACAGCATCTAAAGGCTCATTTTGTCTGATTTTCGAACTGCGTTTTTACGCAGAAATGATGGCTGCATGGTGAAACTGCGAGGGGAAAGCGTAAAACAGCCTGATCGGAGGCTGCCTGCGATGAGGAACAGGTGGGGAAGAGCACGTGTGACTGAGAACAGGGGGCACATCTGCCAGGCTGGCTGTGGCTCCACGGCTGGGATGTTCACACCTCCCATTTCAGAGCAGACAGGATGCGGTCCGGTGCGGGCGCGCTGTGTAGTCAGGGAAAAGAGAGTTTTTAAAGGAGGGGTGGAGGGGTGTGTGTGTGTGTGTGTCTGTGTGTGGGAGTGGGAGGGGAGGGTGATATTGTTTAACTACCCGCATTTATGAGCCGCAAGTGTCTGACACAGAGAAAAGAGCAAATACACAAGCAGTGATATGAGGCTGAAAATGGGCATCCGTTCAGCGGCAGCGTCATTTACGGCCCATTACGCGCACTCACACGCACACACACACACACACACACACACACACGCACACGCACACACAGGCACACACACAGGGGAGGCTCTCTCTCTCTCAGGCACTTTTAATGTCATTTCAATGCCGTCACATCTGAAACAATGTGTTATCTGCATGTTTTTTTTGCCATGTCAGCAAAATATTCTCGTTAGGCTGAGAGATTTGGGGTTATAAGAGAAGGAAGCCAGGAGGAGAAGCTTTATCTGCGCCCCAAGTTCTGACAGACTCACGGAGTTTAACTGTTAATATGTTAATCAAACTTTACTGGCCTGAAATTCTTCGTTGCTTTTCAGAAACTATTTCAAAGTTCACTGCATTGATATGCACACCGTGGTATTGATGTTGATTGAGCACGTTACTACCCTCTCAGCTGAGTGGATTCAGGGATATTAGGCTAAATTACACGCATAAAAAGAAATAATAGGGCATTTGCTTTTATTGTAAGAACAATTAGTCTGGCTAATGCAGGCCAGACGTACAAAAGTAAAAAAAAATAAGGCCAAAACAAACCAAAAGTGGGAGAAACTGGCTCCACGGGATTTTGGATATGAATTTACAGGTCTAGATTTCTTTTTAACTCCTCCAAATGAACTTTCTTACGCTTAGAGTAGTTCACTTTGAATCTGGACAGAACCTTTTTTCGGTTTTAACATCAAACTGAGAACTTTCTTAGATTTGCTGCTGGACGCCTCCAATACACACCAAACGCTCCATTCAGGGTCCCAGCGGGGCTATAAGTGTACTGGGGGGGGGCTTTGTTTGTCCCAAACAGACCATTTACCATCCAGTCAGCGTAATGAATCACCCGCGTCCAGTACAGGAGGGAAGCGCCGCTTATCGCCGTTTGATGGAGAGCAAACAGCCCATCATCGGTTGGAAAATTTGTGGGAGGGGTCGCCGGCTGGGGGTGAGAACCCTCACCCTGGAAGGAATGGCCCCCCCCCCCCCCGGGCAACATAATGGAACCCATGCATCCAAATAAACACCTTGCGCTCTCACCTTTTACCTGCGCGTCTTGCACCAGGTCCTTTCGGTTTCACCCCCCCCCCCCACACTATCTCCAGCGCGTAGTGGGTGACCTGTGGGTGATTTGTGGAGGTATTGTATTTAAATGATGAAGATGTCTTGTTTCCAGTCTGGTTTTGGTGTCAGACTGTACCACAGGCCGTGTACAGTGACCTCCGCCTGGACATGACTCGAGGAGGGCCACAGTGATGGAAACTTCTTCCTTTTGTGCTCAATCCCCCCCCCCCCCCTCCCCAGGGGCACTAAGGAGCTGGCTGTTTCTAAACCACTCAGCTTTTGTTTGATGGGGACATTTCCCCGATCTAATAGGCCCTAATAAATTTCTACAGTTGTTTTTTTTTGTCGCTACACATCACTTTGGCTTCCACTAACTTTAAACCGTAGAGGTTTAGGAGCCTCCTGCACATGAGTGCAAGCAGGAGGTGTCTCCCCCCTCCCCCCCATTCCCCAAACTGAGCAGCTCCATCACAAATGACATTTTTGGGAAGACTTATTCATGCGCGTAAGAGTTGACGCTCCGTAGGGGAACCGGAGGCGGGCGAAATCTTCCTCTAACTATTCCAACTATTTTCATTTGTTTCTGTTAAGTCACTCAGGTCTCCACGCGCAGTTGAACAAATAAAAGCAGCCTCGGCAGCAGCAGCAGACGCGCATTCCTTACTGTACATGATCTGGATATTCGCTCTGCCTCCGCAGGGACGCTAGTGTTCCTGCGCTTTTTTTTTTTTTTTTTTTTTTTTTGGGTGGTGTCAGATGGCTTAAATGGGCTTCTCTGCGTACTGTTCAGATGTTGTTGTTGTTGTTTTTAGGCCTTATTGCTGCAGGCTGTGACACTCGGAGCCAATAGTCATACAGTTGCGAACCGACCAAACGACAAATCTGCCACACATTGGGGAGCATTTGGTACCAGTTTTCATCCGGATCCCGGCAATCAAACCCCATCATCTGTGAATTTAGGAAAACCCAGCCATCTAACTACCGGGGTGTCCATTAAAAAAAAGCTTTTTAAAGCTTTATCCTCCACAGATGTTTTTACGACATGACGTGAAAAACGTCTCTCCTGGAAAGTCGCTTAAAAAGCGAATATGGACGATTCCATCCAGAAATCTTTTATTTGTTTCATGTGTTAAGCTTTGGTCAATTGATTAAAGCGACGATTTCCCTTTTTTCTATCACCCACCCACCCCCCACCCACAGCCTCCCATCTCCCCTCCTCCCCCGGCCGGTGGCTGCTTCAAGCTGTCAGAGGAGCAGGCTATAAAAACCGAGAGGGACGGCCCCGAGGAGGCAGCTGATTTTTTTTTTTAGTGGGGAAAAGACTCACTACACAGTTAGTTCTCTCCTGCCAGACGGGAAACGCGGATCGTTTTTTTTTTAAGAGGGGGGGGCTTTAAAAAACTAATGACAACGGACAGCTGGCTGTATAACGGAAAAAAAGGGGAACCGAGCTTGTAATTAGCCCCCTTTAAAATTAACGACGTTGGAGTTTTAGAAGGGGTCGTTTTTTTTTTTCTCCGGAGGTTTGTGATGCTGGTTGCCCGCGCGCCCCGCTCCCTGTTGTGCGTGCTGAGTTGCGCGTGGTGGCTGCACGCATCCCGACTCAAGTCTCCAGCTCTGCCCATCCAGTCCGAGAGGGAACCGCTGCCCTCCAAAGGCTCCTCAGGTAACAAACAAACGCTGCGTCCTGCATGGGACTTTTATTCCTATGGATGCGCTTTTTTGGGGGTTGTTGTTGTTGTTTTTGTTGTTGTCAGCCTGCACGATCACGGAGAGGAGACAGAATTAGGACTCAACAGTAACTTCTCAAATGAAAGATGGCCACACCGGGAAGTGGGGAAAAAAAATTAGATTCGTTGGAACTATAAGACAAATGAATCAACGTAGAATTACACCGTTAAATGTAGTTTTTTTGTGGTTTCAGAGGATCTAATGAAGTGGCTAAATCGAGTTGAAAGCAATTATTTTGTCGTATTTAGCTCTTAATTGAGTATTTTGCCGTTTTTACAGTCTGTTGTTGGCGCTGTTGGTTGCGGCACTTTCCAGGAAACAGTGGACGCGTACAGTTTTCGTACTTTTTGGTGAAATTGCGCTTTTCTGAGGGGCGGTTTAACCCGATCTGAGACCACCAAACTAAAGCAGACCCAGTCTGCCACCAGGGTCCGTCCCTGTCCGCCCCTGTCCGTCCCCTTCAGCTGCGCGCTGCATCTCTGACCGATTACCGAGTCCTAACCACAGAAAAATGCCTTTTGATTCATGTGTGAAAGCCCCCCTCCCCTCTCATCCCCTACGCGCAGAGCTCAGGAGGTAAAGCTCAGAGGGGTGGGAAGTCCACGGTAACCACTGGCTTCTAGCATATAATTCAGAGCTGCCTGCAGACTGTAATCAATCGACTTTTCCATTTCGGGCTCCAAAGAGGAGCGTTTATTTCCCAAAGAGACGCGCAAGCAGCAGGGCAAAGAGCAGGCTGGCTCGTTGTCTGTTTTCAAGTGTGAGCTCACTTTAATGAAAGAATAATGCGAAGCAGGTTAGTAGCAGCGAGCGAGACGCGGACACACACACACACACACAGACACACACACACACACACACACACACACACACACACAAACACACACACACAAGTCTAGTGTGTGCAAAACTCGAGTGCTTAAAAACGAGCAGCTGTGAATGCTGCTGTCAGGCCAGGCCTGTTCTTCCTTATTCAGAGGAATGGGATTAAGATGAAGCACCATCTGATAAACACACTTTATTTTAGAGGGTTTCAGTATATTGTATAATATTGTGAGATTTGGGAGTCTTTCTGTCCTGAGAAGGATTGTTGAAAAGCAGTTGAAGTTAATCTGGTGGATCCAAATCAGTCCTCATATAATTCATATTCTTCTTGGTATTTCTGTTGTGGCTTGCTTTTATAAAATACATATTTTAAATTATGTTTCCATATGAAACAAAAGACCTGCCCCTGCCATGCTGCTCCTCAATAGTTTAAATTCGACTGGATTCAAGGCCGAATAGCCAGCCAAGCGTTGGTCAGTTGGCTGTTTTGTGTGGTCAAATGACATAACGTAGGGTTTTCTTTGTCTAAAATCCTAGAAAAACCATTGTCCATCTTAAATGACTCTCTACTTTCTGTACATATTTAATTCCTGTATAGACTAACAAACCATTATCATATGTGCCAACATATTCTGGTGGTCAGTCACAGTTAAGTTAGGCTACTTCATGTTTGAACTAAACACCAATAATGTTTTTTGTTGTTGTTTTTTTTGCAGGATGTTCCTTTGGAGGTCGGTTTTACTCTCTGGAAGACATGTGGCACCCAGATCTCGGGGAGCCCTTCGGCGTCATGCACTGTGTCCAGTGCTACTGCGAGCCTGTGAGTCCGCTGTCCGCGTGCGCCCCGCGTGTCCGTGCGCATCCCCCAGTCAGCTGACCTTTATTTGTCTGTCTGTCTGTTTTTTCTCCTCGCAGCAGAAGAGTCGTCGCGGTAAGGTGCTTGGAAAAGTGAATTGCAGAAACATCAAACAGGACTGCCCGGAACCGGACTGCGACGATCCGGTCCTGAGGCCTGGTCATTGCTGCAAAACCTGCCCGAAAGGTGACGCAACACAGCTCCACGCATAGGGAGGCAGATGGACAAAAGACTTCTCACTTTGCAATGCTTAATTTGCTCTATCGTGCGCAATCTCTGCGCCAGAAGTCAGCTTTTATCCATTTTTGCGCATTCTCCGCATTACCTTTTTTCAATCTGTTGCACTCGGTTCTTTTTCTTTTTTTTTAGTTTTTTCCCCCCTCTTTCCAAGTTCAGACAGTTAGCCTTCAGAACAGCTGTCCGACACAACGAGCAACTTAATTGATTTTCCACTCAGCTGCCGTAAAGGCAGTTTTTTTTTCTTTTCTTTTTTTTTTCTCTCGACCAGACCTCAAGTGAAAGTACCACCCATGTGTTCGGCCTCCAACACTGCGGCACACACACAAATGCACCTTCTTGTGGAATTAGAGCTCTCCTGTGAGCGTGTGCGTGCACACACACACACACACACACACGCACACACACACACACACGCAGAGAGGGTGGGTCCTCCCCCCCTGCTCTGTTATTCAGCAGATTGGGTGTTTTTTTTTTCTTCTGCGCGTCTGGTAATGGAATGGAAAGTAAAAGCAAAGCCCCGCGGGGACAACGCCGTGCTTGTGTGTGAGGCCCGTGTTAATTTGTGCACGCGTGTGTTGTGGTCGCGTTTAAAGGAAAAAAAAAAAAGTTTGAGTGTGTTTGTTTTAGCTTTTGGCCACCGTCGCACCTGGTATGTTTTTGCAAATGATGGAAAAAAAGGTTGGTTGTGTGTCTCTGTATTTATGTGTGTTTGTGTAACGGGCCCCGGTGCACCTGAGGATACAGTGTTGCTTAAGTTAAGCAGGAAGAAGGGAGAAGACGTCTTTAAGCGTGCACACGTCTTTAAAAAATGTGTGTGTGTGTGTGTGTGTGTGCAAATGAGACACAAAGAAAGCAGACAGTCCAACAGAGAAAAAAAGCCCTAGAGGATTCAGGTTTGGATGAGTGAGGCTGTGTGTGGTTTTTTTCTCTCTCCGGAACATGTCAAAAGGCTGTGACAGGCGTGTGTGTGTGTTTGTGTGTGTGTGTTAGAGTGTGGAGATCTGCCCGAGACATCTGGATGCACAGCAGTTTGTGTGGAACACACAATCACTGTTCAGGTTAGAGACCTGTGTTGAGTCCCAGGTCCCTTATATTCAGGTGCAGGAGGTCCAAACATAGAACAGAAAAAAGCCAGAGCTTGGGCTTTTTCTGTGGATCAGACTGTCTTTCCCACGCCAAAATGTTCAAAGCTCAACTTAAAACGTATTTGTTCAGGATGGCTTTTTGCACATAAAATCTCTGCATACTGGGTTCTGTCACCAATGTGTTTGTCTTTGCATATTTCGATAGTTTGATTTGTTTTTATTCTGCAAAGCACTTTGGTCAACTCCGGTTGTTGTAAAGTGCTATATATGAATAAACATTGATTGATTGATTGGTTGATTGATTAACGTCCACTTCAGAAAGTCGTCAGGACGTGGATGAAGGTTTTTCCAATGACCACAGCAGTTCTGTCCAGCACGAAACCTAAAAGTTACCGCATTCATACCGTCCAACTCTTTATTATTCACATTTTATAGCAGTTATTTAAAGGACTACTTAGATAATCGCCAAATAAAGCAAGGTTTTGATCATTTGCTTCTTCTGTGCCGTTAGGTGTCGCTGACCACAAACTGGCCGACCCTCTGCTGGACAGCTTCGAGTATTTCCACGAGAAGGGCAAAGAGGACGATCTCCACAAGTCCTACAACGACAGATCCTACCTGAGCTCGGAGGATACGAGCCCGGGGGAGAGCCGGACCGGTAAGTGGTCACACACACACACACACACACACACACACACACACACACACACACACCGTCGGCTTTAAAATGTTCCAGGATTCCGAGCTCCCCTAGGCCTCAGGTCTGTGCGTAATGAGATCACTCTGGTCTTTTTTTTTTCTTTCCCCCCCCCCTCCTTTTCGGCAGATTTCGTGGCCCTGCTGACAGGAGTGACAGACTCATGGCTGCCCGGCTCCAGTGGAGTTGCCAGAGTTCGTTTCACTCTGACCAGAAGCAGCTTGGCCTTCTCCGTCACATACCAGAGGTAAAGCGTCATGTGTGTGTGTGTGTGTATGTGTGTGTCGCGGCGAAAAAAGTCAAGAAGTTGGACCTTTTTTTTCGGTTGTTCTCGGCATAGTTTCGCTGTGACAGTCGGCGGTTTCTTTGTAACTCGCTTTTTGACCCTTTGTTTTTGTTTTTAAACACACTGACATCCATTTTTTTACTTTACAGAATGGAGCGCCCTGGAAAAATCGTCTTCCTGGATTCAGATGGGAGCGCCGCTTTTGAGTATAAAGTCCCCAGGGGACAGTCAGACATGGTGAGACATTACAAGAAGTGAAAAAAAAAACCAAAAACATCTCTGGTTTTCATCTTCGGTCACATGTGGACGTGTCTGTTTCCTGAGAGGGAGAGAAATGAAGTGCGGTCACGATGAAGGCTCTCTCTCCCCGGGACGCTGTGTTCAAAACCTCTTCTCTCATAACTCTTTGCCGTGATAAACAGCAAACGCACACACACACACACGTACACACGGTGACACTTCCTTTCTGGGTTGTCTAAACAACAAACCCCGGTCTGATTATCAACACGCAGTCGCTTGCTAGCAAACCAGATTTCAGGCCCGCTTTTTTTACCCTGATAAACCAGTAAAAGGGAATATGTTGGTGTAAGTAGTAGTAACCATACGTGCGCGTCCACCTACTCCCTCAGGTCTGATTCTATCACTACACATAATTTCCTGCCAAAATATACACATCTCCACATTCCATTTCAGACCTGAGCGCTCCGTTCAGTGAGGCGGGAGCCCCCTTTAAATACACGTCCCTGTTATTATTTTTAGATAAATGACAACATCGGGCGGCAGAGAACCTCATAGAAAACAACGTGGTCCAAAAAAGGAAAAGGAGGAGGGGGTCTGCCGAAGCAGAACCTTTGGAGAGAGAATAACATTTTTCACACATTGCATCACTCCCTAACGGGGGACGGAGAGGATTGCTAATTAAAATGGAGATTACCCCTGAACTCTTGAGTTATGAGGCGTCGGCAGAGTGCCACATTTCTTCCCCTTTCCCTCTCCGAGAGAGAGAACTTTTGGTTTTATGTTGAAGCTTTGCAGCCAAAAGTGGAAAGCACATAATTTAATGTGCTAAGCAGACACGAACGCAATGTCTCCGAAACTTTTCAAGAGAACCTTTTAAGGTTGACGTCCAAGTGCGGCTTGACCATACCTGCCTCTTTCTTTTTTCTTTTTTTTTATAGATCTGTGGAGTCTGGAAGAACGTGGCGAAACCTCTCATTCGGCAGCTTCAATCCGAGCAAATGCACATCAGCATGAGCACATCTGCGGGCCGGAGAGAAGAAGTGGAGGGGAAGATCATCAAGCACAGGGCGCTGTTTGCCGGTGAGTCAATAAGTCTGGGTGTTTGAAAAGTGTAGAAGTCTCCAAAGACCGTCCGCCACACCCTCTGGAGCTCAATAAGTCTGGGTGTTTGAAAAGTGTAGAAGTCTCTAAAGACTGTCTCACACACCACTCATTGACCGTGTACGTGCGTTGTGTGTTGTGTCCAGAAACGTTCAGCTCGGTGCTGACCTCGGAGGAGGAGAACTCGGGCATGGGGGGGATCGCCCTGTTAACGCTGAGCGACACGGAGAACAACCTGCACTTTATCCTCATCCTGCAAGGTCTGACCAGACACAAAGAAAAAGGTGAGGACAAAAACGATGCTCTAAGTTCTCCTCATTCATTAAAAACGACTATTTTCTACGATTATCTTTGCTGTAATTACCTAAATTTAAGGAATGCATATGAAAAAAAGTACTTTTTTTCTCTTCTCAGAACCCCATTTGGTGCCTATTCGGGTTCAGCTGATGTACCGCCATCATGTCCTGAGAGAGATCCGAGCCAACATCACTTCTCACGTGAGTAGCCCAGATCTGAATGTCACGTCTGGTGTCTCGTCATGTCTTGATTACCTATTGTGCACACCTGGGGTTCCCCTCCCTCATGTGTTTAAATAGTCCTCGTTTCCCATGTCCTGTGCCGGTGCGTTTTCGTCTTTCTGTTCTCGTCACCCCTCTCGCCACGTCAGGTTTGATTTTGTCACAGCCATGCCATAGCCTTGTTTCCCTTATTGCCATAGCCATGTTTTGCCACAGTCATGTTTTTGTCATGGCCATGTTTTGTCACAGTTTTGTTCATCTTGATTTGATACTTTACCGTAGCCTTGTTTACTTAATTTGATACTTTGTGCTTACAGTCATGTTAATCTTGATTTGATACTTTACCACAGCCTTCTTTACTTAGTTTGATACTTTGTGTTCACAGTCATGTTTAATCTTGATTTGATACTTTGTTCATAGTTTTGCCACAGCCTTGTTTTTTTTTATCTTTGTCTGGACATTCACTCTTCGTGAGTGTGTTTTTGTTAAGATAAACCTTTTTCACGAATCTCTGCGACTGAGACCTCCCTCCAAGATCCCACCCCCCTGACAGTGAATGATATTTGACAGGGAAAATATGTCAACAGGGGAAAGGATTTAGGTAAAGCGTGTCCTCTCCAGAATAGCCGGAGAAGCAGTTTTTGTCTTCGGGAACGCGACGCAGCAAAGGTCCGGCCTCTCTCCCGCTCTCTCCCGCTCCCAGATGTGGTTTTGATCACCACATCTGGGCGATGTCATCCCCCGTTCTGATAACGGCCGGCCGAGAGAGGCGGGGAGGGGGGAAAGAAAAAGACGAGAGAAAGTGTGCGAGCGAGACAGATGTGAACTGGAGATGAGGCACCGAGGAAGAGGGCAGAGAGAGAGAGGGGTGGGGGGGTAAAGAGGATGCTTACACACTCCTCACACATGTCAGTGGTTAGCGCTCTGCGGGCTGAGATGAAGGGGAAAAGGGGGTGGCGATGAAAGGTGCGTCTGTTTTTAATTCGGCCGGGAAACGGCACGAAAGGGCGAGTGGTGGAAGAGACCACGCGTAAAAAAAGGGAAGACTTTTGGACTTTTGGAGCTCCGTTCCCCTGTCCCACGCTGACTTTGGGGTGGTGTTAAACTTGCCCCCCTTTTATTTTCGCGCTGTCTCACAGTAAAATTGACAGAAGGAGCTTTTTGGGCTCGCCGCTCTGCCCTGAGTCACTGGAACACCCCCCCCCCCTACCTCTTTAATTTTTCCATTCATTCTGGAAAGTAACCCTCCTTGTTTCCAGCCTGTTCCTGTTATTTGCTCCGTGCTGCTCGCTCCGTGGATTTATCCCTCGTGTGTGTGTGTGTATTCGAATGGAATTGAAGTGTCGGGATCATAAACAGCAACATTTTTTGAACACACTCATAGATCCGTGCCGTTATTCCTGCATTTTTTTTAACACGGCTGTGGAGTCCAGTCTGTGTACTGGAAACCTCTTCCAGTATGTTAATGCAACGCCAACCATATTTCTGCCTTTTTAAACATAAACTCAAAGACTTTTTATTGAGAGGTCAGACATGTGGACATCAATAATCTAACTGTCCTGATCTCGTATCTGTGATGTTTCAGTGTGTGATTTGTTCTGTTGTGTACAGTCACGGTGTTTTGTGTAAAAGCCTAACTGGGGACAGGCCATTGAGAATTAGCCTTAGCTAAAATGTTTCATGAAACATACTTGTCCCTATCAAATAAATGAATAAATAAATAAAATGCGTGGGCCCGTGAGTGGGGTGATGAAAGGGTCACGTGTTCCTTACGTATGACAGAGCTGTTTGTGTTCTCGACGGTTTCTGACTCGGTCACGGCTTTGTGACCGTCGTATTTATTTAATCTCGAGGCAGCTTTTACTGCCACGCTCTCTCTGTTTTTTCTCTCTGTTTAGAGCAAACTAAAACAAAAAATGGAGCTCGCACCGAATCGCCAGCCCCCTCTCTTGTCATTGGAAGGGCTTTGTGTGGCTGCTTAGCTATCATGTCAGCGTTATGTCAACAGGCTCCGACTCTGTGATGGGACATTTTGGTTTCTACTCTCGAGGACGGATTTGTGTACGGTGGATTGTTTGTTTCGCGTCACCTCGGAGGTCATATTTCGTCTTTGTGTTCTTTTCATTTTGCGCAGGATCCAGATTTCGCAGAGGTGCTGACGGACCTGAACGGCCGAGAGCTCTTCTGGTTGTCTCGCGGTCAGCTGGAGATCGCCGTGGCGACCGTGGGCCATCGACACCGAGAGATCTCCGGTTTCATCACCGGGAGAAAATCTTGCGACAGTACGTTTTCCCCCACAGACACAACCTTTTTTATGTGTGTGAGGGGCCTTTTTGGAATACCGTAGAAAGCCCAGTCGCCCAGTGGAGACACACACACACGGTCCCACCGTGTGTGTGTGTGTACAGGACCGTGGCACTCTTGAGTCCAAATGTCTGGCCCAATGCAACCCTTCTGTCACACACACAGATGTACACACACACACACTCTTGTTTGTAAAATGTTTAAACAGACTCCAGTGTGCACACACATGCACACACACACAGTATACACACACGCTGATGCTGCTAAGGCCACAGTGGGCTGGACTGGGCTGTTGGTGTTGGACTTGTGTGATTAACAGTTTGACGTAATGTACCAAGAATTCAGGCCCGACACTTCTTTTTTTTTTTTTTTCTCTCTGTCGCTCTTTTTTTCCCCCTCAGCTTCAGTTTCAGGGTTATTCGTCATCCGTCTGAGGGCCATTTTCAGAACTCTGGCTTTCTCCCCCCCCCTCCCCATTCCCTCCTGCTCCCTCAGCTTTTCTTTCAAAACCTGCTTTTCTCATTCGGAGGCTTAACTTCATTTGGGATTTTTTCGTGTGTACGTGTAAGAACGTTATGTTGATATCCCCTTTCCAAGCTAACAGCGACATTTGAATGTGACAGAGTCCCCGTCTCATGATGCTCTCTAGTCTGATCAAGAATGTGTTTCTGATATCAATGCTTCTTTTGTCTGGCTCAGCCATTCAGAGTGTGATGTCCAGTGGAGATGCGCTGACCCCGGGGAAGACTGGAGGTGTGGGATCTGCGGTCTTCAGCCTCCATGACAACGGAACGCTGGACTATCTGGTTCGGATTTGTTCACTCTTTGAGAACTCATTTGTTTCTTTATAGTCAGATGCATCATTTACCATATTCTGACAGTTATTAGATTTCTATCTATGATCACATTGTTTTGGTGATGATACATTCATTTTATAGCACACATTTGCAGCTCTTTGTAGCACACTAACTCTGGCATCTTTAACTTTGCTATGCAGATGTCATTTATTAGAGAGGATAGCAGCTGTCAGTTATTTCTCTCAAGGTTTTTTAGGCCTAGCTCCTTACAGGGAATGAAAAACATACAAAAGATTCTAGGAAACAAGACATTCAGATAATAATAGTGTCTGTGCACAGCCAGAACCAAGCAGAACTGTGAGGGAATCTAAATTATTGATCTATTCCACACTGTCTTAGAGACACCAAACCAAAGTAACCTGCGCCCAATAGAAAGCCGCTTTGGTTGTGTTTTTCCTTCCATTAAACTATTAAGAGCAGAGGGAGATTGAAGTTTTTTTCCCTCCTTCTCCATGTTCTAGGTCCAGGTGGCGGGCCTGACCAGCGATGTGGTCGGTCTCGGGATCGAGCTGAAGCCGCGGCGGCGAAACAAGCGCTCCGTCCTTTACGACCTGACCCCGGAGTTCAGCAGGTCCACGGGCCGGGCGGCGGGCAGCTGGAGCCGTCTGGAGGCCCGCCACATCCACATGCTGCTGCAGAACGAGCTCTTCATCAACGTGGCCACGGTCCACAACCAGGAAGGGGAGCTTCGGGGTCAGATCAAGGCCCTGCCCTATAGTGGCCTGGAACTGCCCAGACACGGTACGAACCCATGCGAAGTGACCGGGAAGTCTGCCCTGAAGACACTACATGTCTATATACCTTTATCTACCTCATTTAACCGTTTTTTAACTCCCAACAGAGCTGCCCATCCCTCTGGCTGGCCACTTCGTGTCCCCCCCGGTCAGAACCGGTGCGTCCGGCCACGCCTGGGTGTCCGTGGACAAACAGTGCCACCTGCACTACGAGATAGTAGTGGCGGGCCTCAGTAAGGCCGACGACCTGACCGTCAACGCTCACCTACACGGGCTGGCCGAGATCGGCGAACTGGCCGACAGCAGCACCACGCACAAGCGGCTCCTGACCGGCTTCTACGGCTCGCAGGTACGACCCATTCCGCGGTAGATCCGGTTAAAACTTACGATTTAGAGATGCACTGAAGGTTTTCATCTGTCCCCCAGGCTCAGGGAGTTTTGAAAGAAATCGGCGTGGAACTGCTGACGCACCTGGACCAGGGAACGGCCTTCGTTCAAGTTAGCACCAAGATGAACCCTCAAGGAGAAATACGAGGACGGGTACGCGAACAAAAGCCAAAGAGCGACAACTTTAGCGTACACACTAATCCATAGACCCATTCAGTGTCTGAAGCTTCTTTCTATAAGAGAATGATTGGGTTGGGGCTATGTGGGTAACTTCGTGATCAGTAGCCATTAGTTAAGTCCTAAACATCCCTTGTTGTTCCTCCTCTATTCCCACTCGGAGCATCCACCTTAATAAGTTCTGTGCTCTCTTCTGTTCTTTTAAGCTCCAAACCAATGTTAATGGCCTTGTCCTCTCCTCTGTTTCCAGGTCCATGTTCCAAACAGTTGCAGGTTTGGGGCGGGGGGGGAGGTGGAGGAGGCCGAGCTGGATGACCTTTTCGCGAAAGACCCCGAGGAGCTGAAGAAAGACCCCCAGACCTGTTTTTTCGAAAACCAGCACCACGCCCACGGTTCCCGCTGGACACCCAACTACGACAAGTGCTTCTCGTGCAGCTGCCAGGTAAGAACAACGAATAGAGAGGGACGGTAGATGAAAGAGTCACCGAGGTGTTTGAAGTGATTATAGAGGGCTGGGGAATGTTCGAAAGTGGCTATGACGGGTCAATGTAGGGTGTTATGTGTGCTTACAGATGAAAGATGCTATTTGTTTTACAGAAGCGAACGGTAATCTGCGATCCGGTCATCTGTCCAGTGTTGACCTGCCCCAGGACCGTTCAGCCCGAGGACAAGTGCTGCCCGATGTGTGACGGTGAGAGGAATTAGTCAGTTTTGTCTATTTTTAATGTGGATTTACTTACTTGAGGTCAGTTATATTATTTAGGCTGTCTCAAGGATTTGTGTTCATCTGATTAAAACTAATTCAGTTTTGTATGCTTTAATTGTCCCAATGTTCAGAGAGGAGGGAGCCCAAAGACATGAAGGCTTCAGAGCGAGTCGATGAACACCCCGAGGGTAATATTTGACTAATCCGAGTATTTCCATGGCATTTTTTTGCTCCTGTAACACATTACGTTTGTAGAATTGAACTCAGAATCCATTCTTTCCTTGTCTGGTGACTTAGGTTGCTACTTTGAAGGCGACCAGAAGATGCATGCCCCAGGAACCACATGGCATCCGTTTGTTCCTCCCTTTGGGTTCATCAAATGTGCGGTCTGCACTTGTAAGGTAAGCAAAGTCCAATAAATGGACTCCCATTTCACTGGCTTTCTTCTCCAGACACTTCTAGAGAATCATTTATGTTTTTATATTACTTTATATTACTAAATGTTGCTAATTGTCTGGTGTTGCTGTGCTCGTTTCACAGGGATCCACGGGAGAGGTTCACTGTGAGAAAGTGACCTGTCCTCTGTTGACCTGCAGTCACCCGGTGAGACTAAGTCCCTCGGACTGCTGTAAGGAGTGTCCTGAGGAAGAGAGGATCGCCCCCGGCCTGGAGCACAGAGACATGATGCAGGCGGACGGCCCCAGACACTGCAAATTCGGAAAGAACTATTACCAGAACAGCGACAGCTGGCACCCCTGGGTGCCGCTGGTGGGCGAGATGAAGTGCATCAACTGCTGGTGTGACGTAAGCAAAAAAGTTCAATAAACTCCAACTGCGTCCCATTGATACGGATCCAATCTAAGAAAGGGTTTGAACTAAGGAAACCAACATTTTTGTCCGATGCAAAACTTTGATTAAATCTTACATCTTGACCAACCGTGGAAAAGAAAAGCTATCAGGAAGGATTTGATCAGGAAGAAAATTCCATCAGAAAAAGAACCAGTTAAGCCTTTACTGGCTGAGAGGACAGGAAGGAGAGGCCAACCAGCACCGGAAACCAGGCCGGAGATACCTGCAGAGAGAGAAACACAACAAACAAAAACTAGCGCAAGCTAACAAAAATGTGCTCTGATCAGTGTTAGAATGATGTATGGACACCTGCTCCTCAGGTTAAACTTGTTGAGATGATAGATAAAAATATGCCACTTTCCAAAAGGTGGTTATCCACTAAATGTTCTCCTGTGAGATGAACTCAACGATTAAGAAAAAAAAGCAACAAAGAAGTTTGATTTGACACTTCAACATTGTCTGTTTTTCACTAATTTCTTGTCTTCTGCTCTCCTTTGCAGCACGGTGTGACCAAGTGTCAGAGGAAACAGTGTCCAGTCTTGACCTGCTCTAGCATCACCCGTACAGAGGGCTCCTGCTGTCCAGAATGTGCCGGTGAGCCATGACCACACACACATACACACACACACACACACACACACACACACACAGCTGCCAGACGGCACCTGCGTATTTTCACGGTCTTATACGACAAAGAGTTACTCAAACAGGACCCAGATGCGGAGATCCAATAGAGAAAGGTTTTATTAACTCAGGGCACACTCTCAAGGAGTGGAAACAAAGTAACAAAATAAGATCGCACAACCAGGATGGTTTCAGAAAGTAACAAATCAGAATCAGTCGTAATAAGAGGATGGCAAAAGGCTTTGAAACAAAGTAACAAAATAATACTCACGAGAGTAAAAAAAAAATTAGGAGGATAAAAAAACAAAATCACTCTTTCGAGGTATAACTTGATTCAAGGCAAGGTTTGGTTAAGCTATTTAACAAATGAGGGAAAGGGAACCCCAGACAATTGGACCGATGACACACTGAAACGAGGGTTACTTATCAAAATCAAACAGGAAATGACAAGACCACATGGAGACAGGACAAAAAAACCTTAGCTAAATAACACCGCCGTGACATTATATAAACACAGTGTATTGTGGATTTGAGGATATATCACAGTATAAAGTCTAAACCTCAGCAAATCAATGTTTTTCTACACTGTCATCTGCTTTTGGAGACTGCGAGCATGATGAAAACGTGGATTTTTCTGGCTGTCAAAAGCCAACATGAAGACCATACGTGTGTATTTCAACCTTAAAACTAGCCCCTGTTTTTTAGGGGAACTGGCCTGTTTTTAAGCCGAGCTCTCCACAGTTTTTGCAGCATCACATTTTTGTGGATTTTTGATGTTGTCTCTGTGCTCCACAAATCCACAAGCGTGGCTGAACGTGTGCAGGGTGCGCACAAATATGTGCTCTCAAGACAGTGGAACTCTAAAGGGGGAGTTAAATCTCTCAAACACTGGTTTAACATTAGTTTCCTGCTCTCGACAGATTACAAAGAAGAAGACGATTCCACGATGAAAGCGTCGGATAAAAGGAGAACGCGGAGACACTGATCCCCGGATGCACGCGTCTAAAACAGCCCCCCCGACCCCTCCATCCTCCCCACATGGACCAAACCCCCCCCCCAGGGAACCGTGAACTGGGCTCCCCCCTCCTCCCGGCACCTCACCCGACACCCACCCAGTTTTCAGCTTTAAGATTGTAACGAGGAGAGCGGAGAGGAGCGAAACGGAACGAAAGTAAGAGACTTTAAAACCAAGGATGGAAGCCACGGAGGGGGACCGACCTAACGCCAATCGCCAGCTGCCTCCTGCTCCCCGTTTTTGCTCGTTTTTGCTCCGAGCAGCTCAGCGAGAATTGAGGGGGAAGCTGTGAATCCAACACGGCTGTTCCACCGGGACAGAAATCCAGCTGGATTTTAGTGTCGGTCACCGCCTGAGCCTTATTTCAACAGACAGAGCTTCCTTTTGAAGCAAAGCCATAGTCACATGGTGTCACTGGACACGGCGAGCACGATTGTGTGAGTGAAGGTATACGTGTGTAGCTTTAAGGTTTATTTTTTTTATTTTCGATAAAGAGCGCGACTTAGTCAGTACACATGCCAGAAGAGAGAGAAAAAAAAAACCCGGATAAAATGTCAGTACGTGTCTCTTCCCACTTGTCTTATGAGAATAAATTTCCACCCGTAAAATCCTGTCGGGACCGTTTCTGTCTGTCTGGAAGAAAAAACTGTTTGTCCCTATCTCGAGGAATAAGGAAGTCAGTCGCTTTGAATGAGATTTTCAGCTGTCGTGGGAAATGGAGCTGATTTGTATTTTGTATTTATTAAATAGTGTGGATTCAAAATAGACAAAGAAGTTTCCGGTTGGATTTCTTGTCCCAAAAAGTACCCTTTTTTTTGTCTTTTATGCATTTCTATAATGTTTTTCTTCAACTTGACTTGTAGGTTTTATCGTTCCACTTCGAATCTCTCCATATCTTTCCTTTCGAGTTTGTTTTCGGTTTTCCTTTTTGCAGTTTTTCCACATGTGGAGCTGTAATCGGAGGGGGGGTGATTGGCCAGACTGAGCTCACTTTATCCTCCATGTTCTCTGTCTTCCTCTATTCTTTTGTCTTCACGGTGTCTCCATCGATGTCACTCGCTGCCTCTCTTTTCTTTGTTAACCAGTTTTCTTGTTTTTTCCCCCCCCCCTGTATTTCCAGTTATTTTCTTTGGCTTTCTGTCCCACATTTCATTTCCTTTCTTCCTACTAAGTCAGCACATGTGCTCTGTAGTGTTTTGTCCTTTACAGACCTCCTCTTTTGCACACACAGTCACACTGGAGCAGAGTGAAGAAAAGCCCGAAACACAAACACATATTTGCAGATGTGCACACGAACAAACTCCTGAAAAGGGATCGTGTACCTTTGCCAAAGGGAACGCACAATTCTTTCCAACGCACACAAACTCACAACAATCTGTTACTGAACTCTGCTGGACAAAACGCCTCATTGCACTGTGTGTGGCCTTTAAAAAGCAGCTTTCAGAACTCTGGAGAGGCAGTGTGTGTGTGTGTGTGTGTGTGTGAGAGAGAGAGTGTGTGCACAGGGAAACGTGCAGGGGCTTGTCAGAGGTGTCTGCTGGAGGTCAGAGACTGACCACTGTTCGCTGTGGTCTGTGTCAGTCTGTGATGGACACAAACAAAAAACTATTTTGCAGGAAAATATAAATTTTTCAGTTACTCAATTACTGATAAATTCGACAGGAGCCGCTGCAGGTTTGGTTGAACCTTTACGGCCAAAGAGATGAACAGTGGGGACAACCTGAGCTGGCACGTTTAAAAATGCCTGACCGAATGACCACTGTGTAACAGGCAGTTTTTTTATCCAACTACACGTGCAATTTTCCATCATTCCGTGTTACTTTGTCAGTCTTTTGTGAAAGCGAAGAATAAGACATAGAATGCAAACTGAAGCAAGGTTTGTTGCTCTTTTGTGACTTGAATCACTTTAATTTTTTAAACCACAGACCCAGGAATGCACAAAGCTGTGATCAATTTGAGACCGGCATTTCTTTTGGGTCATTATTTGATTTTGGATTAGCGTTTTTTGACAATTAAAAAAAATGTAATATGTAACAAATTGAACTAATGACTATTTGATTATTTATTTTTCAGTACAACTAACTTTAGAATAGATAATTTTCTTTCCTTATGGGTTTCCTGGATTGGTTTGGTAGTCCACCGGCTGCTGAAAATAATGTCAGCGTGTAAAAGAAAAGTGAAATTCATCTGTTTGTGAGAGGGGAACGTTTGCATGAAGGAAGCTTTGTGCCAACTTTTTTTGTGCCCCTTTGTCTACTCTGGCTCCGAAAAAGATTCCAGAATCTAAATTACATTTCAGTTCTGATCAATCTGGCAACCTAAAGCCCGAAAAGCTTTTTCCATACAGCTTATTTGTAGTGGGGCAGGACCCTATCCCAAGTGTCACCAGCAAATGACAGAGAACATCTACCATGCATCTCACACTCAATGAGTGATTGCATGGCAGGGAAGAAAGGCAGGATCTGAAATGACAGGAGAATTAGTGACCAAAACGAAAACAAACTCAGTCCTAGAGTCATATTATGGATGCAGTTTCAAAGTGATAGACCTGGGGAAAAGACATGGTGAAAAGAATTAATCAAATAAGAATCCTAACTGTGTCCCTGTGGAGAAATAGCTTAATCTGGAAGAGTTATTTAATTAATGACTCTATTTCAATCAATATTTCCCCTTCCTCACAGAATGGCTCCTCTGTGCCATATGCGTCCCAAACTGGACCGAGAAATATGTTTATGAACTTTTTCTTCTTTATTCAGGTTATTTCTTTGCGTTCCTGTTTTGTGCTATGATATCTCCTTTTTATTTCCTTTATTTCATTTAGAGCTGGCAAACAAACTCTATCCGTGTGCAGAATAACCCACACGCTGACTGTATCTCTTTGCTCTGAGAACGGTGCGTCGGAGTGCGTCACGTTCACATATTCCTCCCATTTGCCGTTTTTTTTTTTTTTTGCTCATCTCTCAACTTCATTTATCGGCGGACTCCCACAGGTAGCCGGTCTGTTACTGAGCGGACGCTGCCCCAGTGTCCGGCCCACCGGTGCATCCACCACTTATGGTCCGGCCAGTTTTTTGCGCATCTGGATAAACGCGTGAGCTGGATGGATGAATTCGTGACTGTGTGTGTGCGCGCGTGTGCGTGAGTAGGAGAGAGGGAGAGAGAGGGAGAGACAGAGAGAGAGAGAGAGAGAGAGTCGGGATCAGGTGGTTGCAGCACCCGCAATGCAACACAGAGTTAGCGCGCTGCAAACGGACGCTGAGGAGCATCCTCGGAGAAGTTTCCCCGGAGAAGATTCGCTCGTTTTATGAAAGGAGCAGGCAGGGGGCTGCGTTTATGGATTTTTAATTCCGTCCTGGAAGTTGAGGCTGTGGCAGGCAACGGGATTTTTGGTCCACGCGCTCACTGGGGCGGATTCACGTCCATCCACCTGCTCCGGTTGGTAGAGATCCGAAAATCTATGGGACAAAAAAAAGCGTCCACATTGTGTAGTTGGATGCATTAAGTCAAGTGTGTCTTTCAACTTGTAGAATTTTGAGTTTCCCACCTCATCCCCCACGCCTCCCACCCACCCCCACCCCCCCACCCCCCCACACTCCTCCGGAGGATGAGAGAGATGGAGAGCGGCAGGTGACTGGCCGCTCCCCGCCTGTTGAGGACTCCTTACCGGAGACACCGAGGATGGTGAGTTGGCTCCAGGCTGAATGTATGAACAGCAACAGGCCTCCTGTGGGAGGTGGGGGGGCTGGGGCTGGTTAAACTGCAGGTGTACCAGGGCTCCATCACTTGGAGTCTGACTTGTGTTAAGGAGGTGTATCCCACTGTTGGGAAGTTTAAGGATCTGCTTCATCAAATGGTTGAACTGATGGATTTGATCATGTTTTTTTCGCTTTAAAGCTAACTAGGTTTTCAATTAGGCTACATCCAAGTGAAAAAAAGAAAACAACTTTATAATTATCACTTTAAAATGTTACTATTTGTGTTTGTTCGTTTAAAATCGATGGATCAAGTCTGAGAATCACATGTTCGTTTTGAGGGATGGATTGTGACAGCATACTTTCACGTTTCAACTGTCCTCTCAATGCTGTTTGATGACCCTAAGAGCGAACCATTCATAAAAGCAATGAGGGAAGATGAGGAGGAGAAGGAGAAAAGTCAAACGAGAAGACCTGAGACAACCTGAGAGAGTCGGTTGAGTATTTGTGGAGCTTATGGACTCGGCTTTGGTCTTTCAGCTTGAGGTGTGCAGACTGCCGTAGTCAGAGTACAATCTATGTTTCTGACCGCTTTCTGAGACACACAAGCTGCTGTCTCTTTGTCCGGCAGTCACCAATCCAGAAGGCTGTGAAGGCCTCCACCAGTAGCTTTTCCAAGATTATGAAAAAAAATTCAATCGGAATCTAGTTTAGTGTCATTTTAAAGCCAGATCTTGGTAGGTCTTATGTTGTGTTTTTCATTTTGGATTTGGTTCCAACGTCTGTTTCTCGCTTGGCTCTTCTTCCTCATCATCTCTCCAACTTGTTATTTGCAATTTATATCAATATATTTATGGAACAGATGGAGATACACCCAGAAATGACTAATTTTAGCAGTGTTTAAAATCATAGACACCTTCGACTGTTGGGCACCTGTTGATCTTTACGTTCAGTGTAAATGACCCATGGATGATAAGAACATAGAGACAAAATTGACACTATTGAGCCTACCATGAGGTCTGGAGAGGGAGCCACAGGACCAGCATGTGTCCAGGAAAAACCCCACTGACTGACTGAATTGTGGCAGCTTGTTTGAGCCCTTAAATGCAACATGGAGTATGAGCAATGGGGTTTAAATGAACAGGAGAAGGTCCACATGACCGAGGCCACTGACCGGACAGAGAGAGGTTTAATAAGGAGTCCTGAGGAGTCGGGATGAGAGCAGGTACAGGAATTTAACACATCCATTGATTTAAGGAGGCAGACTGGAAACAAAACTGTTTGATGGCCCTTTGAAACCAGCTTCCAGTTTAATGGTCTGAAATAATAACAATACATTTTATTTGTATTGAACGCTTTAAAATCCTGCGATATATCTCACGGTGCCTCACAGTTCTGCAATAAACTGGGTTTAAAACAATAAATCTAAAATAACAATCTTGGCAAAACACAATAATAAGACAAAATGTGTTACTGTTGGAAAAAAATATTTAATTTCATTCAGTTACTTCCCATAACAGAAAGCCACTTTTGATGCATCCCACCCATAACAAAGTCAGATTTGGTATTTTAAAATGTAGGTTAAATTGAGATGTCTTGAACTGGGTGTTGCTGCGTGAGACGGCTCAGTTGTCTGCGTGTGGGATAGATTGCTGAATTTGTTTGTGTTGTGCATTACGTATTCAACTGGAACTGGATAATTATTTGTGTTGATTGCCTGAACGCCCACTGGAACGCCACTCGGATGGCTTGTAATGATGCACACATCAGCGTTCTTTGTCTCCCGCGGGGACACTGATGGGGTGGTAATGACACGAAACACAGATTATAAGGGAGGGACTACCACACAACACAACAAAGTGCTCACAAAGACACCGATTTGAGAGTGTCAAACTATTTTAATGGATACCAACCCAATGCCAGTCTCTTATAAAACACAGATTCAATACACAGACCTGTCTATACACTTTAGTGTAGCATTGCATAGGTTTAGCTAATTGTATTAACAGACGGCTTTCATAGAGTATCTGACTTAAAGATAAGCAGGTCAAAAAAGGAGGCATGTGAATAA